CTGTGATATCAGGCTTCACAATAGCCTGAGTCATATTAGCAAGATTGGACCTTGCGACTTCAATCACCGCACGCTCTTCATTACCTGCCATCTCTATTGGCTGTGGTTGAACTACGATGTCCAACTCTCCTTCTATTCTAGTTCTAGCTTCGACTTCCCTCCTCACTCTGTGAAGTGTTCGTTCAAAGAGATTGTTTGCGCTTCTACTCCTCCGCATTCAAGAGAAGAGCCTGCGTTACACAAACAAGGTAAACTGAAAATTAAAACTTGAATAAATAACTAATAAAATCTCAATGTCAAGTAGCTAATTTTTAAGTCCCCGGCAACGGCGCCAAAAACTTGTGCGGCCTAACGCACACGCAAGTATACGCGGTCGTCAAGTAATAAAGTGACTAAATGTCGGATGTCGAACCCACTAGGACTTGTGATTAACTATTAACTAAATTAGACTATCCTAATTATCTAAACAAGGATTAAACCAAAAGTAGTGATGCTAAAGTAATTAAACTAAAAAGAAAATAACTAATGAACTTTAGAGGAATAGCAGATTTTTATATTATCAATGTGATGAAAACGATCTAGGGCTACGGGCTATCTAACATTCCTATTGTATTCTTCAATTGAATTGACTAACTAATTTATCTAGTTTATTGGTTAACAGGGTTAATATTGCTCATGAGAATCTGTCGAGTTCTTACTTGCCTATTCAAGCTAACCTAACTCCTATATGTCTATGGAGTTAGAATCAACAAGAATGCATTTATAATTCATGTAAATCAACCAAGTAAGGCAATTAGGTATACTTCTATCCTAACCGCAAATCCGTTCCCCGATGCCCAGGTTCAAGAACTTGCTCTACTCAATCCTATATGCAATCTAGAATTCCCACTTTCGAGATCAACTCTAGATTCGTAGATAGTATTCAATTGGTGATCAAACAATCAAATAATTAAATGCAAGACTGAATAAATAAACCAATATGATAAACTAAGAAATCAATCAATATCCTAATAACAATAGTCATGAAAGAACCACAACCCTAGAACGTGAAGTTTAGCTCCACATATACATGGTAGCCAAACAACAAACCATACAAAGAAACATAAAAAATACAAAGTTTGGTGAAAGAAAAGATGAAACCTGGCCTCCACGACGGCTCTGTGCTTGTGTTTTCCTCTAAAAACCGTCCTCCTTCAAAATAGGTTTAGGTTGGCTTTTATATCAGTTGGGGGCATCCTGGGGTTAAAATAACCGAGTCCTAGTCGAAACAGGACAACTTCACGTTCCGAGCGTCTAGGGAAGCGTGGGGCCCTGGCCCTAATATTTAGGTTCTGTAAATTGCGCCACAGCCAGCGCCCCACGCTGGCTGTGGCCCTCAAATTTTACTTTTTTGCTTTTTCTTTCCAATTTCGCTCCAATTCGCGTCGTTTCGTCCCAAATTGCATCCGAATGATTCCTACACATAAAAATACCACAAATGAGCACAAATCATCATATTAAACATCTCAAATTGTCGAAACATGAGCAAAATGCGAGACGATATATATCAAAATATACATACTTTCAGCCGATTATTAGTACCTCTTAGATTTAGTAAACTTGAAAGTTGAGGGGAAACCAATGATCCTATAACATTTGTCAATTGTATGTCCAGGCTTCTTGCAGTAATTACAGATCTATTTATTTTTCTTTCTTTCAAAAGTTGTTTTGAACTTGCCTTCATTGTTTCCATATCTCTAATAGTTTGACTGCTGGTTTTTCACTAGGAAGGCAGACTCAATTGGATGTTGTGCTACGTGGATCTCCCTCTGCTTCTCATCTTGGATAAGCAGGGAGTAAGCTTGATTGATGCTGGGAAGGGGTGAGATCATCAGAATATTGCTTCTCACAGCAGAGTAGGCTTCATTGAGTCCCATTAAAAATTAGATCAAGCAACCATCTTGAAGGGATTTCATAGTCCTTGTTTTACCTCCACAAGTGCACTCACATGTGCAGTGAACGCAGGTATTCAAAATGTCTAATTCATCCCAAATTCTTTTCACTTTGGTGTGGTCACCTGCTGCATCTGAGGTTCCTTGCACAAGGTCACTCAATTCCTTCTCCAATTAATAGAGTCGAGCACCATTGCATTGCCCAAATCCGACTTTAAGTTATTTCCAGATGTCTTTTGCTGTTTTGGAGTAAAGCACACTCTCTGCTATATCCTTCGAGAGCGAGTTCAACAACCATGAGATGACCATGTCGTTGCAACGATTCCATGGTTTAAACAGATTTAAAGATGGATCGGGTTCAACACAACTTCTATCAATAAAGCCTAGCTTATTTTTAGCTGAGAGTGCAATGACAATGGCTCTACGCCATCCTCCATACTCCTTTCCATTAAACACTGAATTGACAAGCACCATTCCTGGCGAGTCTGAAGGATGGAGATAACATGAGTTAAAGGAATCAGTGATTGCTAGGGCTGGTTGAGTGAAAGCTGGAGTAGCAGTGATAGGTGGAGTAGCAGAAACTCCTGAGTTATCATCTGAAGAGTTTGGTGCCACGAGATGAAAAAAAACGATTGAGAAAAAGAAGATTTTTTTTAGGATATTAGATATCTATTGCTCTGATACCATGAAGAGATGTAAAGAAAATTTCCTTTTCATTGAATGAATTTTGTATCTGTATAGTGTCCCGTTATATACAACAAAGAGAAGAATCTCTATAACTAATTTTCTCCGCGTGTTCTTCTCTTATTCAGCTAAGCCTAACAAACTAATGAATAAATAATAAATAAAAAATATATTTACAATATTATTATCCAGCTAATCTGGTTCTAGAAGGATGTGGTTTCTTCTTATTGTGGAAAATATCTATACTCAAATTAACATGTGTAGGTCCTAGATGAAATCCCTTATTTTGCGATAGAGGGCTCTAATTGATTTGTGCATTCATACGTGTGAGACGCTTAGAGATTGGGTCTTTGTCCTTGCTTCATTTCATTTGTTTGGCCTGATAGTATAGGCTTCCCTTCTCTCTCCGAGCCCAATCTTTCCATCTTCTGTAACGGGTCTCTTTAGGATTTTTGGTACCAACACAATGTATAACAGAGATAAAAGCTTTATTTACGTTGGACCCTGGCAAAGCATGGGCTCCCTTTGCTAGTACTAATACTAAAAAAAATGTGGAATGGAAAGTTAGGGGTAAGTGCACCGATAGCCAATCTTAGGAATGCTATCTAGAGATTAGTCGGTACTTATTTCGTCATGAAATTTTATACTAAAGATCTTAACTTCAACTCGGGACATTTTTGTCCTCAAAATTTGAACTGGAGAACTCTAGGACATACTGGTTAATTCCTAAATAGCACTCCTTTAGAGTGGCTACCTAATATCATTTCTACAGGGAAGTTGTCGTACTCATAAGAAGAATTAACCCAAATAACAGCCCACCTAATCTTTAAACTAAAAATAGTCGGCAGATGTATAATATATATTTAATTCACGCATATTATGCATATAATTATGTATAATCAATGTATATCGACTAAAGAAAGCAAACAATTAATTTGACCGGCTATTTGTGTAACAAGCTCTACTCGTAATGTCCAGTTAAGGTTCATGGGCCGGCATTACTAGATAATGAACTTTGCAATGGGGATCTTTGGCAAATACCCAGGCAGGGGAAATTATTTACCTGTCCCTGTCCATATGATTTGTCCTCTACCCATTTTTTTTAATACTCAATCAAAGTCAACTAAATGAAGTCAAACTAAGTTATTAAATCAAGTCAAGTCAAGTAAAGCCAATTCAAGCCAAGCCAGATCAAGCTAAGCTAAGCCAAATGGGTAATGGGAGAGGGGGGGGGGGGGTAAGTAGGGTTAATTCGTTTTAATTGGATAGGTATATATTATAATATCAGTAGAAAAGGATAATTATTTTAAGCTTGCCGGGTATTTTGCATACATTACTCATCTTAGCCTCGAAAAAACCCACAATTCACCAACAAGGGTTGTGGTGGAGTGGTAAGTACTCCTTCATCCTTAATTAGAGGTCTCGAGTTCGAGCCCCTAGGTATGGAGTCGCCTTTGTTAGGGAGCGCTTTACCCCCCAATGTGGGACTTCCCGGCGCGAATCCGGATTTAGTCGGGCCCCAATGTGGGTAACGGACATCGGGTGGGGAAAAAAAAAAACCCCACAATTCGAACACATACTCTCCTCTACGGTCAATCTTCACAAGAAGTCCAAATGGAACTAGAATAAATTTCATGTTTTTTTATTTATTATGGAAAATAGGCATCTTTCCTAATTGCGATGGTTGATTTAGTTCTTTCTACTCATTTTGTTGTCTGCATCCATTTACTAATTTATTTTTGATAATTTAGGTATTTATCTCTCTCTTTTTACATAGTTAACGAATGAAGAAGGACAATGAAAAAAAAATTGAAGGACACATCCTTTCGTGAATGATGGTAAAGTTCAAAATTCAAACCTTTGAACTAAGATTATAAAAAGATTTGAAATTCAAAAATGTGAATAGATTAACTTTCATTACACGCTTGGATTTTGAATTCCCAAATAAAAAAAAGAAGAAATAAGAAATAAAAAAATGCAGAATGGTCCAAACTGTAAGCTTGTAATGAAAGCTAATCTATTCATAACTCATTAAATTGGTCTTTGCCTACCACACCAAAACTCCTAAAAATTGGCGGCAAAAGTAAAATTATAAGACTGTAAAACAATTAAGTCATTTGAATTTTGTTATTTAAAACTTGTTATATATTAGCTGGTACAACTAGAGTATTATTTTTAATAATTTCCTAAACTAAGAAATAGGAGTATATATTTTTCTAAATAATTTGAAAATATCTGAAACAAAATCGAAAAATAAATCACTTCATTAACTATTTTCTGTTTTACAATTATCTCAAAAAATAGTTTCCACTAAAATCTTAACAAAGTGGGCCCACATCCAGCTTCTCCTCCACTTTTCCTTCTCTTTTTCAGCCATATTTGATATTTACCCGCCAACCGTCACCCCCGCTCTTGCATTAGGCGGGAAAATTTCAAAACCCTAATTTAATTCTTCAAATTAACGAGGGAAAATCAATACAAAATTCAAAAACCTAAAACCTACTTCATAAAGTTGTTTGTTGTGCTATATATACACGCACATCTCACTGAAATCGAAGCAATCCATTCCCTCTGACAACTGTTCGACGAAATTCCTCACTGAAAGAAAGAATCGAGAAAATGTATGTTTGGAAGAGAGATGGGCGTCAAGAAGCAGTCCACTTTGATAAGATCACAGCTAGGCTTAAGAAGTTGAGTTATGGACTCAGCCCTGAACACTGCGATCCCGTGCTCGTATCACAGAAGGTTTGTGCTGGTGTTTACAAAGGAGTTACGACGAGCCAGCTCGATGAATTGGCTGCTGAGACCGCCGCTGCCTTGACTGCTAATCACCCTGACTATGCTAGCGTGAGTCTCTGATTTACTATACTTGCTTTGATGTTTGTTTGTTGGTCTATTTTTAACAATCTGAAATTGGAAATTATAGTAATTAGTTTCAGATTATGGGTCAATTTGAGGTAAAAGATTGGACATGGTATTTATGATATTAATTTAATTTTAGCACCATATTAGTAGTATTGGAAAAAATATACTGTATAGTAACCAGAGGCTGGTGTAACATGGTTGTCATGGTTCAACTGAACCCAAACATTTTTGACACAAATTATATACAATTCTATGTAAAAGTTCCTAAACTAATATTTAAAATTTGGACCTATAATTTCCTGAAGTGCAAAAGGTAAGGTCAACCTCATCAAATTTAATGGGATCCGCCCTTTGATAATAACATTGATTGAAAAAAATGATTTTGATAGAGAAAAGCATTATATCAAAGTTTACAAGTTGAATTAAATGAATTTGAATAATTGAAACTTGTTGGATAATATAGCTACTGGAATTCTGTCAAAACATTGTTAAATGTTCTAAAATAGAAGAAATGGAAAGAATGTCATATAAATTGGGATGGACTAGTAATGTCAAGTTCTCTCCCTCTCTTGTTGTTTAAATAGAGTAAAGTTTCTGCTGGTGTTATGTCTAAAGATGAAATTTTGCTTTAGATGAAGGTGTTTTTTGTAATCCAATTGTTTACATTTATTTATATTGCAGCTGGCCGCAAGGATTGCTGTTTCCAATCTGCACAAGAACACAAAGAAATCATTTTCCGAGACGTAGGGGCTTTAAATTATTATTTATCATTGATGTTTTTTCTTATATGGAAACAAAAGGTGTGTTTAATGATTGAGAATGGAAAGGTGTTGTTTACAATATTTGTTTTCTGATCTCCATAGGGTTAAGGACATGTACAACCATATCAGTGAGAGATCTGGACTAAAGGCGCCTCTGATTTCTGATGAAGTGTATGAGATTATCATGAAGGTATCATTGCCTTTTTTGATGATAGTTTGGTTCTAATTGTTGGTTTATTTTCTAGGATAAAGGCTAGGATACATTATTTAAGATTTTGTGTGAAAGCATGTTCATTGTATTTCATAGTAATGTGTTTTTCATAAAAAATGTTGATTCGATTAGGATACTGCAGAAAAGGTTGTCAGTTGTCCATTTTTCCTGCACATGACATTTCCTTGCTGCCCTTGTTGGAAGGTGTGATATGGTTCTCAGAGAATACCAGTGTGCCTCATTAAGAATTTTGCATCCCATTGTCAGGAAATAAGACCTGCTGCTTTCTGTTTTTTCCCTTTCCTTTATCTATAAGCTTTTGCAATATTTTGGCGCAATAATAACTTGATTAACTGAAGTGTTGTTTAATGTGATAAACCATTTGAAGTTCTATGCTGATGATAATAGTTGCTTCAGTGGTACTTTGGAATTTTAGAGGTCAGTTATTAACAACTTGCCTTTCTATTCCTCAGAATGCATCTCGACTGGACAGTGAGATCATATATGACAGGGACTTTGATTATGATTACTTTGGTTTCAAAACCCTGGAGCGGTCTTACCTCTTAAAGATCAACGAAAAAGTTGTAGAAAGGCCACAACATATGCTGATGAGAGTTTCTGTTGGGATCCACAAGGATGATATTGAATCTGCCATCAAAACTTATCATTTGATGTCTCAAAGATGGTTCACTCATGCCTCTCCAACTCTTTTTAACGCTGGAACTCCAAGGCCTCAAGTATGCCAATTTAATTTGGAAATAGCTCCAGAGCATGATATACCTGATTTCTTAATAGTTTTCTTCTTTGACTTGCAGTTAAGTAGCTGCTTCCTTGTATGCATGAAAGAAGATAGTATCGAGGGCATATATGACACTCTTAAGGAATGTGCTGTTATTAGCAAATCTGCTGGAGGAATTGGAGTATCTGTTCACAATATTCGTGGTACTGGGAGTTATATTCGTGGGACAAATGGGACATCAAATGGAATTATTCCGATGCTACGCGTGTTTAATGACACTGCTCGATATGTTGACCAAGGAGGTGGCAAAAGAAAAGGTAAGCCTGGACTGCTGTGTCCAGCGGCGGAGGCAGGATCTCCACGAAGGGGGTTCAAATTTTTTTTTTGTAGCTAGTGAGAATTGAACCCATGACCTTATGTAGATTTTGAACACCCTTGACCACTAAACTACACTTTTGGATTGTGTTAAGGGTGTTCAAAACATAATATATAGAGGTAAAACACAGATTTTGCCTTATATATACAGTGTAATTTTTTGGCGAAGGGTGTTCGGGTGAACACCCTTGTGCCCCCCTAAATCCGCCCCTGGCTGTGTCTCTATTTGGATATAATTAATATTGGGCTAATGCCTTGTTTTGATTTGTTCTGACAATTTTATGTCATGTGTAGGTGCTTTTGCTGTCTATCTTGAGCCCTGGCATTCTGATGTATTTGAATTTCTGGATTTGAGGAAGAACCATGGAAAGGTGCAGTTGCTATCCTTGACTTAACCATTCCAGTATTAGTCTTGTAGACTAAAATGTGATCTGCTTAATTAAACTGTTCATTCCACTAGAATTTGCGTAATCCTTTCATATGATGGGGCTTGTAATTGTTTAATTGACACAAAATGTCTATCTCTGCAGGAAGAGCATCGGGCCCGAGATCTTTTCTATGCTCTTTGGGTGCCTGATCTTTTTATGGAAAGAGTCCAAAGCAACGGGCAGTGGTCTTTATTTTGTCCAAGTGAGGCCCCTGGATTGGCAGATTGTTGGGGTGAAGATTTTGAGAAGCTGTATACAAAGTATGAAAGAGAGGTAAAGTCTATGATTGTGATTAATTGCTTGCCAAGCTTGGACTAAGTGATGCTTGCCAGCATATGAATACATGATCTTAAGCAATTCCATTTTGTCAATTCAGGGTAAGGCGAAGAAGGTTGTGCAAGCACAAAATCTCTGGTTTGAGATCTTGAAGTCTCAGATAGAAACTGGGACCCCATACATGCTGTATAAGGTGACTTTAATATTGTTTATCTTGTTTTTTTTGTTGTTGTTTGGATGCATTGAAATTTTCTTAATCCATTTTTCTGCCTGTTATCACAGGATTCTTGTAATAGAAAAAGCAACCAGCAGAATCTTGGCACTATCAAGTCTTCTAACTTGTGTACTGAAATTATTGAGTACACAAGTCCTACTGAAACTGCTGTGTGTAATCTTGCATCAATTGCTCTTCCACGATATGTTAGAGAGAAGGTAGTTACAAATGCCATACACTTAAACATCACTTGCTTTTAAGTTTCCTTGTCCTGTTATTATAGAATTATCTTTTATAACTTTCAGGAGGTCCCAAGTGAATCACAACCATCTAAGCTTGTTGGGAGCAGAGGCTCTAAAAACCGATACTTTGATTTTGACAAACTGGCAGAGGTTAGATTTTTTTATCAAATTGAACTTGTCTACTTCTGATGTCTTGAGTTAATTAACTTGGATATTCATCCTTATCTTGTTCTATTTTTCATGTGAGACAGGTCACTGCATTGGTTACTACAAACCTGAATAAAATTATTGATGTCAACTACTACCCTGTTGAAACTGCAAAAAGGTCTAATTTACGACATAGACCTATTGGACTTGGGGTCCAGGGTCTTGCAGACACATTCATATTGCTTGGCATGTCATTTGATTCACCAGAGGTAAGCCACCTGACATCCAGCTTTTATTGTTTTTGGTAAATGAGCTTTTATTGTTTAATTGGTTCAATGGTGCTGATCTTTATATTTTCTCTATGTATAGGCTCAGCAGCTAAACAAAGACATATTTGAGACAATATACTACCATGCTTTAAAAGCCTCCTCTGAATTAGCTGCCAAGGAAGGCCCATATGAGACATATGCAGGAAGTCCTGTAAGCAAGGTATATATTGGAGCTTTTGCTTTAGCTGATGGTTTACTACATGGATGACTTGTTTGGCTGTCCAGGACTTCTGAAAATTGAGCTGGGGTATCAAGTGCCCTTCTTGATAAAGAAAATGTGATTTTGCTGTTAAATGTGAAGATGTCATCCAAGTCAAAATGTGATTTTAAAATGTGCCCAAAATAGAACCTGATATTATCGGGCCAAAAGTTCAATGATTTGTCAGATTTTGTGTTTGATTTAATTTTTATCTATTTCTTACTGGTTTAGCATTGTACTCAATTAAGATTGAACTATTCTCTTCAGGGTATTCTCCAGCCAGACATGTGGGGAGTAACACCATCAGATCGATGGGATTGGGGTGTTCTCCGTGAAATGATTGCAAAGAATGGTGTAAGAAATTCACTTCTTGTAGCTCCAATGCCCACTGCTTCAACCAGCCAAATTCTTGGAAACAATGAATGCTTTGAGCCTTATACGTCCAATATCTACAGTAGAAGAGTTCTAAGGTTACTTTTGCTGCCTGATCCTTTATCTCAATTCTAACTGAGTTAATTTTGCTGTCTTCAGATTTTAACTACCGGTTGTTCTTTTTCAGTGGTGAATTTGTTGTGGTGAACAAACATCTTCTTCATGACTTAACTGAGATGGGGCTTTGGTCTCCTACCCTCAAGAATAGGATAATTTATGATGATGGTTCTGTGCAGAAAATCCCAGAAATTCCAGAGGATCTTAAACTCATATACAAGTATGAATTTCTTTTCCATGTTGTTTGTTTTTCCTGTTTTCATGTTCATTTTACTTCCAATCCCATGCTTATACTATTTATTGATGTTAGGACTGTTTGGGAGATCAAGCAACGGACCTTGGTTGATATGGCTGTTGACCGAGGATGTTATATTGATCAGAGTCAGAGTCTCAACATCCATATGGACCAACCCAATTTTGGAAAGCTTACATCCCTGCATTTTCATGCTTGGTCCAGGGTATGTTTTCCTTTTCACATAGCAGTTTGTTGCTTCAATTGTAGGATGATTGTGATTTCTCATTTGTGTATGCCATTGTGTATCTGATTTTCAAATGTCAAGTGGTGATATATTTCAAACAGCTAGTTGGCATATCCAAATATTTTCACTATACCTAATAGTCTGTCTAGGAGACGATAAAATTGCTGGAAATTCCTATGTGAAGCTGGTCTTGTAGGGTTTTGTTTACACAGGTTACTGAGGTATCTCGGAATGTTTCAACTTGTTTCAGGGTCTGAAAACAGGAATGTACTATCTAAGATCACGCGCTGCAGCTGATGCTATCAAGTTCACAGTCGATACTTCCATGCTGAAGGTAGTAATCGTTATACTTTGTTTTACTTTCTCCTTATCAAATCAATGAGTTCATGCTTACAGAATGCATTTGGGACTTGAATGCAGGAAAAGCCACAGACTCCAGTTGACGACGAAACTAAAATGGCTCAAATGGTATGCTCTTTGAGTAACCGTGATGAGTGTATGGCTTGTGGAAGTTAGTGCTTTATGCAGAAGGATTTTGAACTTTTGGCTTTTGTTATGTATTTCTTCCCTGCATTCTGGGAAAGCTTAGTATCGATAGGCCAAAGTAGGCCCTAGTAGGATATGGCCTGTATTGACGTCCCTGATTAAATCTTGTTTAACTCTTTGTACATATATTAGATTATAGTATCTGCTGTTACCAAGCTTGCAATTTTCTTGTATCAGTAACTAGTATTGCTGTATTGCATATCTGAATATATCAGTGATAAGAATGTGTTAATCTCTGACTGAATTTCAATTTTTGATGCTGTTAATGTGATAAACAGAAAGGGCATGATAAATGCAAGATAAGGCATGATAAATGCAATCTAGTCACTAGTCAACCACTTAATATAGAGTTAAAATTTCATCAATTCCTTCTTTCTTCACTTCTCATATTGGCATATTCCTCTAATAACATTTTAAAAGGAAGTTTTACCTCATATAGCAAAGGTTGATACCTTATTTATTTTAAATAAATACCCTTTTAAAAAATTATATTCCATAGCTATCTTTTGATTTTTATATCCAAACATTTATTTATGGTTATCTTCTAATCTTAAGTCATAAAATACTTTTTGTATTATTTTTCTCCACCCTCACTCTCTCAATGCCAATCTTTCTCCATAGAAGACAAATTCTCAAAGAAGTACTATATTAAAGTGTATCCAACTCTTTTGTCGTTGTCAACCCTCTTTGGCTTCGATTCTCGTTCTCATCAAAATGGCGACATCAAATTTTTATTACGAGAAGCTGCAAAATGTGTGTAATTGAGGGGAGGCTTATGCTTGACGGGTTTGGTAAAAGTTGTTAATGGAGAAGAAAAATAGTGGCACTAAATGAAAGCTGCCATTGAATTTACAAGTAGTTATTGTTAGGTTTGTTCTCGCGTAACTTTGCTTTCTATTGCCGGAATAGTATCACAGTAATGGGAACAATGATGTTTCGAGTCAGAAATGCGGCCCTCTCGATGAGACGACATTAGAGTTGTTCTTGAACAAAGACGAAGGAGTTTGGGGCTGAGCAAATTGAAGATTATGTTACCTTTTTTTAAAGTGTATTTCAATGTATCTCGCTGTATTTCCATGTATTTCATCGTATTCATTATTTTTTTTATTGTATTTCTGTGTATCTCGCTGTATTTCATGTATTTCATTGTATTCACTGTCTCGCTATATTCCATGAATGTATTCATATAATTTTTTTAATTAATATAATTTATGTATTCAGATGTATATATGTATTCAAAAATATCTGCAGTATGTATTAATATATTTTTGCACTATAGATGACCTGCTATACTTCATGTATTCAATGTATTTTTATGTATTTAACTATATCCAATGTAATTATATAATTTCTCTGAAGATTGCTATATTTTTTGGGTGTTTTTCGGTTGAGAATCTTTTTCATAACTGGAAATACAAATTTTGTGTGTTATAATTGAGTTTGTTGAGTTATATTAGGAGTCTATTATGTTAATTGATTCACTTTCGTTTAAAAACAGCTGAATAGACCATGAATTGCACCATGAATACAGTCGAATACAATAATATGTCGAGCTGTAATTCCCTGTTTCACGCCCTGAATACAGTCGAATACAATAATCTGTCTAGCTGTAATCCCCTTTTCACGCTGAAAAATGCTATTGTATTCATGGATACAGTAGCTTAAATACATCGAATACACTCTAAAAAACTTGAAAACATAGCTATAGGAAGTAATATAGTAAATGGTAGCTACAACTAACTAATAACCACTAAAACATAGTGGTTTCTTAAAGTTTCCCATTTTAAATAGGGACAAAGCAAGCCATTTTTTTTTTAAAAAGGAGATCATCAGTAAAACATCATTCTATTTAATAATCACTAGACTTTTAAACTACTCCCTTTGCTTAAGTTTGTGGACCTATTTCTTATTCAGTCTATTTAAGATAGAATGACTTATTTATATATTTCGAAACAATTTAACTTGAATTTTCAATTATAATATTATTGACAAACTTTTATAATCACACACATTATAGTACTATCACGATCCGAATTTTCCACCCTCGAGAATCGTGATGGCGCCTACTAATGGGAGCTAGGCAAGCCAACCTTAACTACTTGCTACACTTTCATATTTCCTCTTTTTAACAATTTACCAGACGATAATATGATAACAGCGGAATTTTTAAATAAATAAGCGGAAGTCAACAATTATATATCTTAAGACTACGTCTATTACAGCTTTTAAAACCTCAAATACCCAAAACCCGGTGTCACAGACTATCTAAGAGTCACTATATACAAGGTCTGAAGAATAACAGTACACTGTTTCTGAAATAAAGAGAAGGAAACAGGAAATAGAGATAGAGGGAGACGCCAGGGCCCGTGGACATCTGCAGGTCTACCTTGGGTCTCTTGGTGGACTGAAGGAAGCCCTCCAACTACTGTCCGAAAGCTGCTCCGGGATCTGCACACAGTGCAAAGTATAGTATCAGCACAACCGACCCCATGTGCTGGTAAGTGCCTAGCCTAACCTCGGCGAAGTAGTGACGAGGCTAGGACCAGACTACCAAATAAACCTGTGCAGTTTAAATATATACAGCGGAAAAAGAAATACTGAGATAACCAGTCAATGTGGGAAGGGGGAACATGCTGTGGGGGAGATAACAGTTCTGAATAGAAAGGCATCAAGTACAGAAAGTAACAACACAACTCGAATATCAACAAGGAACAGAAATCAACAGTTTGCACGGCATCATCCTTCGTGCTTTTACTCTCGTCCTCACCAAAAATAATTATTTATCAAAGATGTGCACGGCATCACCCTTCGTGCTTTTACTCTCTCTCCTCACCATGTAATCAATATAATCAGCACGGAATGGTACATCGTGCGGCACGGCATCACCCTTCGTGCTTTACACTCTTTCCTCACAATATCAATAATGCACGGCATCACCCTTCGTGCTTTAACACTCTTCCTCACCCAAACAACAATCACAAACAAGGTCAAGGGAATAAACAAGAACATATAGAAATCCCGACAAGGAAACAACAATTAAACAATTAAATCCCGGCAAGGGAACAATAATTAAATAATTAAATCCCGGCAAGGGAACATTTCAATAACTCTTTCTCTATCTTTCACTTATACTTCATAACTCGCTTTACCACTTGAGCCAATACTCCAAATGGTTCAATCATCTCATATGCTTTTACAATTCATAATATAACTCGAGCCAATGCTCCAAGATGTTCAAAGGTCTCAATTCCTTCCACAAACTTTTAACAACAACTAGAAATCATCACCAAAGCATGAAGAATACAACGAAATCAAGATATTCACAATATAAAGACTCACGGTCATGCTAGACACCAACGTATAGATACTCGTCACCATACCTATACATCGTACACGACTAATACCACATAGCAAATAGGACTCAACTCCTAATCCCTTAAGCTAAGGTTAGACCAAACACTTACCTCGAACTTCCACGGCCAACTCAAGCCTCAAACACCGCTTTTTCTTTCAAATTTGGCTCCAACACAATTGAATCTTCAACAAAACGACATCAATGACCCTTTTATCCTATGAATATCCCAATAATTGTCAATTTGCATATTTTGGGTCTAACCTTTGACTTTGACTTCAACTAATTGCGTCACTTATGGTAGACAAATTATAATTAATCAAAGATATTCCTTCCATTTTAATTTATGCGACATAATTTTATTCGGCACAAAGTTTAATAGATTTAAATATTTCACATATAACTATATTATATTAAAAGCACGAAGGCTCTTAACGAAATGTTGTTCGTCTTTTTTACACTTCAAAAGTATAGTTCACACTGAACAAAGTCATTTGATTAATTTTTTATATTTAGAAATAGTCATTTAATTATTTTTCTAATATTGAAGACTTTAAATTCAACTAAATTTTGTGTATTAAATATTTCCTTATTTGAACCATGTAATTTATCATATTTTTAAAAGAAATATATAACAAATTGAACGGCAAAAATTTTAGCACTTCAATTCTTGTAACGTTTGGGATTCTTTACTTTCCATAGAGGAAAAAGATTCTTCAAATTGGCCTTTTTTCATGAGTAATTATTGGCGTGAATTTGGAACTTCAATGGGCAGAACACAACTTCAATTTGATAGACATCACTATTCTATTATTAGTAAATATTGAATTAAACACAAAGGCCTAAATATTTTAGGTCAAATTTTCGAGCAATTTTAACTTCTTTTATGTAACGACCCGACTGGTTGTTTTGAGCAATTGCGTTCGATTCGGCAGTTTGAGGTCACGAGTAGCTTCACATAGTGCATTATGACTTGCCTGCATCATTGGTTCGGGTTTTTGAGAAGTTCAGAAAGAATTTTTAGAAGTGACTTTCATTTGAGAAGCTTGAAGTTGAAAGAATTGACCAAGAGTTGACTTTTGAGTATTTGATCTCGGATTGGAATATTGATGTTCCCAAAGACTCGGGTAGTGATTTTGGACTTAGGCGTACGTATGGATTTGGATTTGGAGGTCCGTAGGGTAATTTGAAGCATTTTGGCGAAAATTGGAAAGTTGAAGTTTTGGAAAATGGAGAAGTTTGACCCATAGTTGACTTTTGTGATATCGGGGTCGAAATGCGATTCCGTGAGTTGGAACAAACCCTTATGTCATTTGGGACTTGTCTGCGAAATTTGGCGTCATTCCGGGTTGGTTTGATAGGTTTCGGCATGAGTTTTAGAAGTTGGAAGATTGGAAAGTTCATAAGTTCGATTGATGGTGTGATTTGTCGTTTCGGCGTTGTTTGATGTGATTTGAGACCTCGAGCTGTTAGGTTATAGGACTTGTTTGTATGGTTAGACGGGGTCCCGGGGGCCTTGGGTGTGTTCCGGGTGGGCTACAGGTCAATTCCTCCTATATTTGAACTGCTATTTTCTGCTTCTGGTGTTGTTCTTCGCAATCGCGAACAGCCTTCCGCGTTCGCGAAGTGTTGTTGCTGGCTACCTCAAAATCCTTCTTTCCGTTCGCTTTCAACATCTTGCGTTCGCGAAGGTCTGTCTTTCCCCTCATCGCGTTCGCGTTCCTTCCACGCGTTCGTGTAGTTATGCCTTTTCACTCTTCGCGTTCACGTACTAATTCACGCATTCGTGAAGAGCAGTCGTTGGGCCATCAGACTTTTCTTCTTCGCGTTCGTGAATGTGTTGTCGCGTTCGCGAAGCACATCTAGGCAGCCTTAGTCTTTCCTT